GAATATCAGATCTAAAATACAGGGCTCGTTATTAGATCTCATTCTTGTTGGATTCTTTATGTGTTGAAATAGAAATGCATCTTTGGCCGATTCGAGGAATTTATATTCCAAATGTTGTGCTCCTCTAAACGGAATCCACCATTTCCAATCTATATTTTTGAAATTAAAGTCCCCCATCATTATTAAGTGGGATGTTTTTACTTCAACTATATCGGTAAGTAGCGCGCATGAATCCATATTATTTTCGTCTACGCTGTTTGAACTCCTATAGAGGCATCCGATTATTAAGCTGTTTCTTTTATCAAGGTTAATTTTAATCCACAATTGCTCATTAAATGTTTTGTAAATTGATATTTCCGTGGCTCCGAGATTATTTTCCGTGTATAGGATGATTCCTCGCGATCCATTTTCTTGTTCTATCTCCCCGGGAAATACTTCAAATCCGTCGATATCAAACTCGGCCTTGTTTATCCGGTACCTTGACTATTTAGGACAAGCCTCGACTACTCAAATGATATCTTAATTCTCCTCTCTGATTATAGATTTCAGTTCGTCTATGTTGTTTGTGAGTGTGTCTGCATTTGTAAAGATACGTCGGAATTTATTCGGAAGGGTTATTCTTTTCAGGCTGCCAAACGGACGATCTTCCTGTTCCACGGTGGCCTTCTTACCCGGTGTAGAATTCACCCGATTCTCTCCTTTCTCTTAATTTTGCCTCATCTCTTAAGGCGGTTTCCACTTCGCGTTCCGTTTCGGTGAGATTTTATCGTTGGTCTTTAATGCAGATATATTTTGAACAGTGATTTCTTTCTCTCGGATGATATAAAAGAAACCAACAGCGGTCTCGATTTTATCTTTGATTTATCATATTTGCCAAGTCTGATAACTTTGGCTACATTGTCCTCGTACTTCACTTTACCTATCTCCTGTATTTCCTTCTCATCTGCTACATTCCTCGCGGCTCCGTCTACACCACCGTTTCTCTAGTTTTTCCATCACTGAGTTCCGTAATAATATCTTGCTGGGTAACGGTGTCCCTACCGATGTGTTTGGCTTGTTGATGTTGTCCGCTTTCTTCTATGTTTTCCTTAAACTCTTGTTTAATTATTTCTTAACTTGTGCCTCTCCAATGATTTGATTTTTTCCTCGAACATCTTCATTATTTCGGCACACTTGCGTTTGATCTGAATTTCCGTTTGGAGGTTTTCTCCACGATGGCGAGACAGGGAGGATAGAACCACATTGAGTCAACGGAGTATGCAACAGTCTCCTTCCCACGGAAGAGAAAACGGATTTCCTGTGACTTTGGTCCTAGTTCTGCTTGTTGACCTCGTCGTATGGGGCGTTGAATCTTTGTCCGGTTGTTTGTTTACATGTATATGTACATCTGTATGAATCGGGCAACAGTATTTTTTTTCATCGTCTAACTGAATCTGTGAAGATTTTTTAAGACTTCTTTTGCGTATTTCAAAAGTAAAGAAAATAAACTTCCGTGTGATAAGCATTTGGCGGCCTCGTTTCCAGATAAATCTGTGTCAGTCATTAATAAATTATTTTTATATTATAGCCTAACCGGGGCCATCGTAAATTTCTACCGGGTTGTCGCCTCACTGAGTCTATGTAAACAGAATACATATGGTATGTTTAAAAAATAAGGTTCACTTTATCATAACCAAGAGTATCGGATATAGCATTTCTGTACATAAATAAATTAAAACATTTTCACTGGATTTTAGAAAGCTGGTGACCTCCAACAATGTGACATTACGACAGGTTTTACGTAATATGATGTCAAATGCGTTTAACTTTCCGCATCACATATCACAATCTCAGTATTTTTTAACACTGGTTTGTTTATATGTCTCTTCTCGGATCCTGTTGTGATGCCTCGGTATGCCTTGGTATGCTAAAAACTGCTAAGATTGCCAGGACATTAAAACTTATTTTGCGAGCTATCGAATACGCCTGTTTGTCAAGCATATATTTCAAATAACCTGTTTCTAAACTCTTAACAGCTGCAAACAACTCAGTGTGCCGAGTCAGTAAATTCATCTGTCATAAATCATAGAGACATTTCTCCCAATTACATTTTAATACCTAACGTGGCCAACGTGAATGCATTTTTGTAACATTTTCTCACTCTCGTTATATGTTGCAAATGATACACGCACCTGTTTCGAGTATATCTTAATTACCTTAATTGTGTTTTTCACAGATGGAACAGATACGATATTTTTATGGAGCATATGAAATAGAGAGATACTCCAAACTGTTAGAAATAAACGTAAATATATTTTTCTCTAATATTTTGTTAGATGATTTAACAAGGGGTAATATTGAAATATTTAAACTTTAATTAAAACAAGAGGCCCAGAGGGCCTTAATGCTCACCTGGATAATAAAGCAATCATGGGAAAGTATTTCTATTACATAAAATCCCTCAAATAGTACAGAGGAAGAAGGATTTTGAAGACTTAAACCTCAAATTCCCCTAGTGGGCACCTCAACTCTGCACCCAGCGGTGCTACACCCTCCATTTATACAAAATGTAGTCGCATTTGCCCTTGGACATGGAATTCCCTTGGCCCAAGGAAGCTCCAGGCCAAATTTGGATAAAATCCATCAAATGGTACAGACGGGGAAAGATTGTAAAGATTTAAACATCAAATTCCCCTATTGAGCCCTGCCCCTTTGCACACAAGATGCCACACCTACCATTTATACAAAATTGAGTCATCTTGGCCCAAGGATGCTCCAGACCAAAGTAGGATAATATCCCTTTATCCCTACGGTAGAAGAAGGCATTTCAAGATTTTACCTCTATTTTCCTTATTGGACCCCACCCAACTGCCCCCAGGGATGCCACACCCACCATTTATACAAAATTGAGTCCCCTTGAAAGAAGGATGCCTTAGAACTAGTTAGGATAAAATCCCTTCACTTGTATGGTAGAAGAAGGATTTCAAAGCTTTTACCTCTATTTCCCTTATTGGGCCACGCCCTCGGCCCCCAGAAGGGCCACAGTCACCATTTATACAAAATTCAATGCCCTTGGCCTAAGGTCGCTCCAGACCAAATTTAGTCAAAATCTACTGGGCCGTTCAGGACTAGTAGTGTTTTAAAGGAAAAGTTGACGGAAGAACGACGGACGCCGCATCATGGCACAAGCTCACCTGGTCTTCGGACCAGGTTAGCTAAAAATCATTACAAAGAATGTCTAAACCTACCGATAAGTAGCATCGTCACGTTATAAAACATGTAATCGACCCCATGACAGCTAGGGAGTAAATGAGTGTATAATTTATGTAATCATACACAATTCTGTAACTGTTGACAATTTTAAAAGGATCTGCAGCAGTAAACCATCGTCAGAATTGTTTTGAAAGCTGAAATCAGTACTATTGTATTTGGGAAATATTTACTTAACTGTGATGCACCGTTTAAAATTATTAACTGATTATATTTACAATTGCCACTGTTTCTGAATCGATAACCTAAGTGTGAGCAAGTCTGTTTATTTCTCAATAACTTAAATGTAGAACATGACCCAGTTCACCGCGTATGAATATATGTAAATATTGGCGGACTTCTTTCCGCAAACCTCATGTCAATGTTTACAAACAAACGCTAGCATTTAGACTACCGTGCGTTCGAGACACCAAATGCTGTCGGGTTCTAGACAAGACAGATCACGTTCATGACCGGTCATAAAAATGAAGCTAGTGTCAGAAGCTACAGTCGCTATTGTTCGTCGGTACAAACAAGCTCCACCAGCTCCACTCTATCATCTATGAGTGTCGGCCGCCATGACACAGAAACGATGGCTATCGTTCCTGGAAATGCAGGTCAAAGGACCTGTTACAGGAACAAACAAAAAATTGTATGAAGTAAAATGTGGATATTTATATTTTATTTAAGTAAAAATATTGAAATGGAGGAACTTCTTTTTCTTTTGTTGTCACGGAGAAAGTGGGCGGAGTTTAGCTGTCTGTCAACGGCTTTTGCGAATGGCTGTTTCGCATGGATCAATATTACGTCAAGGTAAATGCTTATATCCGACTCTTTTCATGGTGTTAATTGTTGTTAAAAGAAAATATTGTAAATATAAGGATTAAACTTTCATTTGTTAGTTTATGAGATACTAAATACAATGGAGAAGTCGGTACATTGTTCGTAAACGCTTCCCGTATACGCAATTTACCTCGTGCTCCATTGTATTTATTATCTCATAAACTAAACAAAATAAAAGGTTAATCCTTAATTATACTTCATGCATTATAAGTGTGCACCCAGGCTTGTACCATCTATAAACTGTACGCCTACAGCGAAATATCACATATCACACATATATTTGATCTTACATAACTTTCCAATGAAGAACTCGTTTCATAAATCTCATATGAAATGAAAACGGGTGTAAGATCATTTTTTTCACATAATCAAGATTTTTGGCATTTATTCGTGTAAAACGACAATTTTCATGCATGATTGAAATGTAAAAAGCCGCCATTTTGACTCTAGTGCGAAAGTCTGTTACAATCAATCACAGGGTTGATAGGTCGAATTACATGGGTTAATACGCAAATCGATATGACGTACACGGGTATATTCGCTGGATAACACAGTACATTATTTGATATAAAAACATAATCGACGGTCATAATGGACAGAGGTATGAGTGTCTGTAGCTACCAGGAAGACACGTGTTTCGTTTGATAACGAACAAAAAACTGAGACAGACTTTTCATTGTAATGTGTTTGTGGTTTAAATTATATGCAGTTTTGATAGGTGATTTAATGCAGCATTTTTATTATGACACGTGTTAGAGTTGCTACAATTAGATATGAATTGAACATCCTCAAGCACTAGCAAATAAATAATTAGTGATAGCTATAGGCTCGCTAGCGCGTTTGTGCACGTGCCCAAATATTGCACTGACCGGATACAAATAATGTTTGCCCACCTGCTTCGTGGGGCATGTCCATACCACGAAACGTTCAACATTAACACTATCATAACGATGCTCTGCTAAGTTGAAATGTATTTGATTAGGATAGATACGAATAGAAATTCCTAAGTGTCAGATCTCGCCATCCTTTGTAGGTAGAATTTGATTTCTATGAATTAACATATACAGTTTGCTATGCTCCTCCATGTTTGTCTGACCATGTCACAGAACAATGCATTGCATGTCTCGTTGTTATCGCGTGACAGGGCGTAGCTCAATCGAATAAAGTCGCGTAGACGCTGGTGACTATCATATTCAGGGCGTATATGTTGGCGGGGGAGCGATGGTCGACACAGCCATGTCTGTTCATGTATACTTGATGGTTACTTGCCTGGCATTTAACACCGATTCAGGTACGTGTTGTTTCTGTGATACAATACATTTACAGTCCATGTATAATAGTGCTCATAATTATAACAGGTGTAATTATGAAACAATAGAGTGCATGTGTGTGTAAATATGATTCATAACAGTATATATATGTGTGTGTAAAATGAATGCATTTATTTAAAGTGTGTGTAATTATGAACAAAATAGTATAAGTATAGTATATGTATACCATTAGGTATTGGACAATATAAAAATATCAGAGAATTCAATAACTCATGGACATTCACTCAAACTTGGAAAAGTGTTTTCTGTATCAAATAGTAGTCAAAATCGCTTTTCAAATAGGGTAGTAAATAAGTGGAACTCCTTATCAGAGGCAACAGTTACAGCGAGCTCTATGAACATATTTAAGAGTAACCTGAACACTGACTTTTTTTAAAACATAACCTTCTACCGCTAGCGCAGCGAAAACATTAAAGAAACGATGTAAAAGATTTAAATTGGGCCAATACAAGCTTTAAGCTCATTTCCCGGCCATCCGGATCAAGGTGAATCAAGGTAAATCATATGATTGTAATCCCTAATAGTACATGTAAAATTGTAATACCTAATGGTATATGTAGGCGTAATTATAATGTATAATAGTGTAGGTACAGATATATGTGTACTTATAGTACTTTATAATAAACAGTGGTTGTTTATATAATTGCAATCCCTTATGGTATTTATATGTGAAATTTTGATACATAATGGGGGATGTTTGTATATGCCTAATAGTGTATGTACAGATGTATGTGCAATTGTGATATCATTTATAACATGCAATGTCTGTGTACTAAACCCGATGTTATGACGAAGAATAACAAAGTTAATCAATACAGGTGACGTTTTAGATGGAGGAAACATTAAAACACATTCTTTGTTATTGATCATTAACATCTGTTCAAAACATCTATATCAGTTTGCTTCAAATATCTTTATTGATTCTGTTTTTTTGTTCTTACTCTTTACGACAACCTTCAGTCAATGTATATGGGTTTTACTGAGTTAATGTGTAATTACACTGGCAACGTCCCAGCTTAACTTCCTGATACATGCAGGTCATGCATATACGGTATGCTCTGCTTTCATGCAGATCTTTGTGTGTCCAAACCAGATATGATTATTCACACCACAAGCATGCTATTGTGTGTGTAGACAAAGGATATCTAGTTATTACAATTTGTCTGCAGACACTATTACATTTACTGCTTGCAAATTGGTGTGATCCAGTTATATACAAACAAAAAATACTAGGACAATTAATATACGTACAAATGAACTGTGTTATATATTAGGTAGAAACAAATGTTTACTTAAATGAATTTCATCCATTGCACTTTGCCATTCATAAGATGAGTTTCCTAATAAGATGTATCTCTCTCATGCCATGGTTTGATCTTTGCGTGAAGTAATCTTACGCGGTTGGACGACATATATATATAGTCTTTGTTTCTAATCGAGTTTTGGAAGAAACAAAACACCAAGCTGTGAATAATCAATTCAATCTCTATCGATTTGCCATATTTAATCCATGATAGTAATTGTATTTGCTGGTGCAATGGATAGGAATGGAATGAAAGGGATTTAAAAGGCTCCTACTAACGTATTGACAGATCAAACTAATTCTTAAATTTAGAAGCATTGTGTGGTAAGTCGTGTACAGTTTCAGCCGTATAACTCGCTGTTGTCGTCATTTGTAAACATGGTACTCTTTACATGAATGCATTCTATTATTGGAAACATTATATTAAGCGCGTGCGTTATAATAGAAGGCCTGGCTGAATCCTCTTTCCCAAACAGGTTCTACATAAACATCTACATATTGTTTGATGAAAGGTATTCTTGACAGAGGCTAAAACTCCATAAACAATCATTTGTAATATCAAAACTAAGTATGCCGTAGATTGCGGTGAACATTTTTAGCATGTTTGTAGTTAGTGTGGTGTTTAAACACGGATATGTGACATACTTCACCTCAACGTCGTGCCGACAAGGTGTAACGTGCCATTTCCAAAACTCTTACACTATCCAGATTGTTATACTGCCAGAAAATGTTTCAAGTCGTGTTTGGAAATTCAATAAATTCGTTTCCTTTTAGAATATAACACTAGATAATTCGAATTTGTACCGAATAATTTTAGTTTAAATTATTGTGACAACAGATAAATAACACTAAAATCTTCATATATTAAAAAAAAAGCAACGAAAACTGGAAATGTAGTTAAGTATAAATAGCTGCATATCCGTCAGAAATAGGAAGTGAAAATTAGGAGATGTCTATGGTATTAAAGTGAAAACAGCTCCAGTTAAATGCATGTATCATCTCCAATTCGATATTCCGGAACTTGTTGAGAATATTGTTATTTTCATGGTAGATACAGTATATGTCATTCTGACAAACCAACTACATAGCAAGTGTTTCCGACTTGTGCGTCTTTAATCTACATTGTCGGCAGTTTACAGTCGTCGTCATGATTTGATCTACTTCGTGATTTTAATATCTGCCATAATATCGACATGCTCATTATACATATAGAGAGATCGATTTCTTCATTTCCTCTGCTTAAATAAATTACAAATATTGCAGTTATTAATAGACAATATAATAACATATTAACATGTTAACAGAAAAAGAGAAAATCGCACAGTTCATTCGTTTATACACTGCAAGCTACTACAAGCTAACTGTTGTGACAGTGTTTAACAGCTGTTAGTATAAGATAACTGTTGTGACAGTGTTTAACAGTTGTTACTGTAAGCTAACTGTTGTGACAGTATTTAACCGCTTTTACTACACGCTAACTGTTGTGAACGTGTTTATCAACAGTTACTACACGCTAACTATTGTGACAGTGTTTAACCGCTTTTACCTCAAGCTTACTGTTGTGACAGTGTTTAACAGCTATTTGTACAAGCTAACTGTTGTGACAGTGTTTATCAACAGTTACTACACGCTAACTGTTGTGACAGTGTTTAACAGCTGTTAGTATAAGATAACTGTTGTGACAGTGTTTAACCGCTTTTACTACAAGCTAACTGTTGTGACAGTGTTTAACAGTTGTTACTACACGCTAACTGTTGTGACAGTGTGTAACAGCTGTTACTACACGCTAACTGTTGTGACAGTGTTTAGCCGCTTTTACTACAAGCGAACTGTTGTGACAGTGTTTAACAGTTGTTTGTACAAGCTAACTGTTGTGACAGTATTTAACAGCTGTTACTACACGCTAACTGTTGAGACAGTATTTAACCGCTTTTACTACTAGTTTACTGTTGTGCCAGTGTTTAACCGCTTTTACTACACGCTAACTGTTGTGACAGTGTTTAACCGCTTTTACTACACGCTTACTGTTGTGAACGTGTTTATCAACAGTTACTACACGCTAACTGTTGTGACAGTGTTGAACCGCTTTTACTACTACGTAACAGTTGTGCCAGTGTTTATCAGCTGTTTCTACAAGCTAACTGTTGTGAACATGTTTATCAACAGTTACGACAAGCTAACTGTTGTGAACGTGTTTAACCGCTTTTACTACGAGGTAACTGTTGTGACAGTGTTTAACAACTAACTATTGTGACAGTGTTTAACCGCTTTAACTACGAGGTAACTGTTGTGACAGTATTTAACCGCTTTAACTACAAGGTTACTGTTGTGACAGTATTTAACCTCTTTAACTACAGGGTAACTGTGGTGGCATTGTGTAAAAGCTGTTATTACAAGCTAACTGTTGTGACATTGTTTAACTGCTGTTACTACCAGCTAACTGTTGTGACAGTCTTTAACAGCTGTTTATATTTGTAAATACAAGATAATTGATGTGACAGTATTTAACCCCTTTAATTACAAGGTAACTGTTGTGACAATGTTTAACAACTGTAACTAAAAGCTAACTGTTGTGACATTGTTTAACTGCTGTTACCACCAGCTGGGTGTTGCGACAGTGTTTAACCGCTGTTAATATTTGTAAATACAAGATAATTGTTGTGACAGTATTTAACCTCTTTAACTACAAGGTAACTGTTGTGACATTGTTTAAAAGCTGTTCATCTGGTGGATCCCAACTCCTCGGGAAAATAGTTTTGACTGTTGACTGATAAGGCATGAAACAACTTTATACTAAAACCTATCTGTTTAGACAGTGTCTAACAGTTGTTACTGTAAGCTAACTGTTGTGACAGTGTTTAACAGTTGTAACTGTAAGCTCATTGTTGTGACAGTGTTTAACAGTTGTTACTGTAAGCTAACTGTTGTGACAGTATTTAACAACGGTAACTACATGCTCACTGTTGTGACAGTGTGTAACCGCTTTTACTACAAGCTAACTGTTGTGACAGTGTTTAACAGTTGTTACTGTAAGCTAACTATTGTGACAGTATTTAACAACGGTAACTACATGCTCACTGTTGTGACAGTGTTTAACCGCTTTTACTACAAGCTAACTATTGTGACAGTATTTAACAGTTGTTACTGTAAGCTAACTGTTGTGACAGTGTTTAACAACTATGGCTACAAGCTTACTTTTGTGATATTGCATTAACAAGTTTGTGCTATGTATTTTTTGCAGATATGTTAACTTTGTCTATAACTATTTGTCGTATTCAATAGCGTAATGGTCATCCATCCTGTAAGCTAGAAGAGTCATATCACATACAGCTGTAAAGAGATGTAACACATGCATGTTTTAATTTTATATCATATAAGTACACAACATATCATATTAATACATTACGTGTGAAGAGCAAAATATTGCTACTGGTGCATACAGGTTTTACTGAAGGAGGATGAATATTTATCTGAACGAGAATCCCCCTGTATACTGTCACTATACAGTACATCAGGTGTAAGGAGGACACGGTTTGCTACTCAAGTGTGAAACACAGATAGTATCGCTTTCCCCTGATGAACATCGGCAATGAACTCTACATGACACTCATAAATTACCAGGTAGGACGAAGGCAGATCCGTATCCGGTTACTATTTGTTGTGTGGTACCATTGTTGCTCTGCCGTCTAGCCTATTTCTACCCCTTCACCTGAGACAGAATGTGAAAATGATCACCTTTAAAGTCAATAACGTTTCTTCCTTGCTGGTATGTAGTAATAAAAATACTATCAATAAAATTCAGCCAGGTTAGTATTCAAACAATCAAAGTTGGAGAAGTACAACTCAAGGTCATTGACAATAGATTTTTGTGTTTACAACTGGGGAGAAGAATTTCTATAAATTCCTGCTTGGAATGCGGAAAGGGTAATGACATTTTTCCATACGCCTGACAACTGGCTTTTAGATCTCAGTTTTATAGCTTTTATAGTTATATGAATCACCATAAGATCAATTCACGGGAAACATAAAAAAGTTCAATAGTAAAAACGTTATTAAAACATGTTACACTACTTTATAAATGCTATGTGACGAGCGTAATTGCCCTCGACGCTTCATTAACCCTTTCACCCCCATGTAACTTTAGTAGACTCTACGAGGCATTGGTATTGATGAGTCCATTATGGTCTACAGTGGTGAAAGGGTTAACTACATTATTGAAAGTGATGGGGATGACAAAGCCAATCTACAAAAGATAAATGTACATAAAAAAGAAGCCAAACTTGTTTTTATCATATTTTAAGAATAACACAGGGGGGGGGGGGTCAAAGTTTATTTCCAATTTATTTGCCTAAAGGGACAATCAATAATGAAAAATAATAATCTCTGTAGCATACGTACCATCATTTCTATCAGTGTTTCACAGATGCTATGTGAGGATCGTTTTGAATAATCATATACATGTATTTACCATTGGTTGATTAATATGTTTGATGCCTTTTATTTTACTTATCATCTTTTTCGTATTTGTGAGGTATTCTTGTTATCGTTAGTTAAACACACGTATGGCAATGCGACAAGAGAGTACCGAAGTGTCAAACTCTTCAAACTCAAATTTTATCAAACTCGGAAAAATATGAACAAAGGAAAATTTTACATTGAAACTTTGAACAATTCGAAAGAGAAGAGGAACAGGGTCCGTGTTCATGGAACTGCTCTGATGCTTAATCTCAAACCCTGTGCTCAATCCAGATTTCTTGTTCCGGTGATAAATTTATATATAATCACAATTCGTCAATGTTTTGGAGGAGCTGTGGAGTTTTGGAAATATACCAAGTCGAGTGCCATCTTTAATACTTATACGTGAAATGTTTACCCTCTAACATGTACATGATTTGAGTATGTTTCAAGAAGTTGGGTTGAGCATACAATCTATCCTTGAGTATGAGGGGGAACTTCATGAATACGGTCTCAAGTGTTCCCCGAAGGTACGCGTCTTTTGTATCGACATCAGCAATGTACATCTATCTCAGATCTAAGTAATGTCTCGTGATATATCGCCAAAAATAATAGGGAAGACAGAGCAGAGAGATAAAGACCCAACGTATTACAATGGAGGCTATAGTGACCAATTATGGTTTCTTTAATGTCCCCAACGCAACAGAAACAAAAGAAAAAGAAAACAATTCTGCAGGTGGATGGGGGCAATAGTCGTCTTGAATTCATGTGCTTATATGCTACAACATCAGGTTATGTTTACATCGCATCTTTAATTCTGGTTGTAATTGACCAACGTAGTGTCATACTTTTTTCTTTGAATTTCTTTACTGAGCGATGCTTACTGTGCGACTGTTGTTTATTGTAGGAACGCTGAGTTGTATTTCTTTTTCTTTTTATCCAGCATTCGGCACGACAGAGATACAGGCAAAAGGCGGTGTGGTCCAAGCCGTGGGTGACATGAACATATTCCCAACGTCAGCACAGTCCGAATACGAGAAAGTATATTGTACGTATCTCAAACAGTATTTCCTATATGTATGTTTTGTTCTTGTCCCTACTTGTTCACCCTCAGTAGCAGACTGAAATGTTCTAGTTTGATCTCCGCAAAAGTTTAATTAACGTACTTAAGGGAGGTAAACTTTATCTTGGGACTACATGCTTACAGCACTTGTAGCTGTGGTTACTTGTATAGTAAAGAGAAGTACTCTGGACATGCCTGTCTGAACGTTTTGTTTGTTGCCTACTCTTCGTCGTTATCTGAGTAGAGTTAGCGGTATATATGCGACAAACATCATTATGATTTTCACAAAGTAGTTCTTTACTACCCCCTTCTTATAATTGTAGTTCTGGAGTATACACTTCCGTCGGTATATTGCCTTTCTCGCTGGTTCCTGATATCAATCAAATGTTTTCTAGCTCTACATACAGATCCTTCTCTCTCTTATTCGGTCATGTAAGATAACCATGCTTGCTGAGTCTAACTTACATGGGCTCATCACATCGCGTAGTAATACAAACACTAAGGGGAGCAACTCCGATGGACAAGTAATGTTCGCCCGGCTCTGTATTCATTAATTGAATCTATAATTTCATATATATTAATTAATTACATGATCAGTCATGAGTTAAAAATTTGACAGCAAAAACATTTTTTTTTTTTTTATATTCAACTAGGAACTATATTTTTCTGCGCACTAAATGAGATGTACAGGAAGTAGCGATGAGGTTCAAAGACGGCGCTTAGAAAATTATCATGGAAATGTGTTGTTTTTATGCGTGTAACAATGTTGCGGTTTGAGGGTATGGAGAATTCATTTCTACTGCTATTTTGTTTTTAAACCACTGAAAAAGTATCTAAAAGCTGTAAGATAGCGACCGCCTGTGTGCATTGAGAGGTGAAGTTTTTGTTTTTAATGGTAGATATGAGAGAAAATCACTCTTTCATATGTAACGGTAGGTGGATAGAGAATCCTCCCTCGGGAATCATAATTAGGGTAAAACGATAAATAAACACCTTATCCGAAAAATACATTTAAGATTTACACAATCAAGGCGGGTAGTATTTTTCATTGCTTTTTAGCCGCATGTTTAATTAATTAGTTTCCCCCTCCAACAGAAAAAAACATAGTATAAGAACTAATTTAATTGTTTTCATTTCCAGGGCGGGCATCAACTCTGGTGCCAACGAATTATACAGAGGTGGTCAAAAGTTTTGAGACTAACTTGGCCATCGCACCGTCTCGCAGTACTTCAAATGACAATTTCGTTAATTCCTTAGAGTGTGACATCAAAAGAGCGAATGTTGTAGCCTGCCTGAAGATGTTCCCGGTAACCCCTACGTCAAGGTACGAACGAATGTACTGTATATCAAGCGCTCTAATCAGAAAGAAGACGAACAACCAATACTCTTGCAGCTGCGAGACGTGTACCCCGGATGTCCACTGTTGGCTGCCGTGTCAGACACTGGCCAAGTTTGGCATGGCTCCAGACAAGGACTGCTTCTGTACTCCAGTGACAGGAGGAGATGGGGAAGGCCCAGTCCCGACATGGTGCCGGAGCCCCCAAGGACAGCCAGAGTTCTTCACGGAATGTCACAGCCCATTGTTTTCATACACATGTGAATTATATAAAAATTTCTTTGAAAATGGATTCAGCCTCACACGTGATCACTACACAATTTTTAAGTCGTTATCATGTAAAGGAAAAACCACTGAAAAATTACTGATATCGTGCCTCAGTAATGCTCTTGTACAAATTGTGAAAAACAGATCTGTGGCTTGTGCTCATCCTTATAAAGACGTCACTTCCTGTTTAGACACCTTCCGCAAGACAATGAGTATATCTGTGGACCCAGTATGTCAACAAGCGTTACAATCCTGGGACCAAATGTCCCCAAATAGCTTCCAAATGTCTAACGTTGATTTTGAAAAGGAACTCTCTCCAGTGCGGTTTAGTGTTATGGAATGCTTGAAGGTTTTGTTATAGCATGTAGTACGAGGGAAGGTTAATGTCAGAAGTTTTAAGTCGTAACTTGCGCTGTTCTCCATTTTATGAACTTCTAACCGATATTGTGTTCATATATTTAAACAATCTATTTCATGTCATTACTTTACGTTCAGTATCAGAAATAACAATTAAAATTCGGCGATGTTTTCGTAAAGTTAACTTATGCGCTTAACAAAAAGAAACAGATTTAAATAGGTTGGCTGTACCACCCTTCTTGAATAGCGTTTTTGAATTGTTAGTAGCAGGATGCTATTTTACACAGTGGCTGACACCTTTTGGAAACATCTGTCGGTGTGGGATTTTGGGACAGACAGCAGGAATTCTTGTTCTGACCTCACTGATTGTGGTGACTGACAGAAGGTAATAAGTTCTTTCAAATACTGTTCCATTTAGAGTGTTGCGTATATCGTCATGGTCTTGTACTGTAACACATGCAGCCTATGGGGTATATGCAATACTGATGTTATGCTCTTTGTTTTGAGTAAGGTAAACAATCTAGGATCAGAAGTATTCTGAACTCTCTGGGGACAAATTGTGGCACTGTAATAGCGAGAGCTGAACACATTATGAAGCAATGTTTACATTACAGCAAACGTGTAGCCGAGGTAAAACCTGTTGACATTCCATACATGTTCCTTCAATATATTACTTACTAACACGACAGTCGCGTGACTGTTATATAATTCGGATGTCAGAAATAAAAAAAAATTCGCGTGTTGAAATATAATCAGAGCAGCGAGTGCGATCGTTGACGGGACTGAATACATTAATAGGCGTGTCTGTCGACAGGATTTGTTTTCATCATTCAAAACGAACGGGTATGTAGCAAAATGTTTGTTCTTTGAAACGAGTTGGCTAAGTGTCATTGGAGAGCACAAGTGTTGTCAATTTCAAAGTAATCATGAGCTACAATATGAGGGTGTTCTCAGTTTCCTCACTTTTTAGGGAACAAAGAAAAGTGTTGATATAGGAAGACAATGGCAAACCAATTAAGGTATGTTTCAAACTTACCCCACAGGTATAACTTACCTGTGTGAAAGTTACCTGTCTGACTTGTAGCTTTTCTGTGTATGTGATATGTAAGGTATTTGTTGGATATATATTTTAGAAGTTTTAATAAATTTTGAGCGGTATGAAATTGATGAAAAAAGATAATAAATAAACACCTAATTGTCTGTTTATCAAACTTTAGGTTGTTAATTTATGTGATACGGAAGGTGGGTTTTTTTTGGGGGGGGGGGGGGGGGG